GTACGGCGGGAGGTCGCGGCGGCGGAAAACCGTCAGGATCCGAGGAGCCTCCTCGAGGACATTTTCCGAAGGGCCGATACCGACGAGAACCAATTGCTGGATATCCAGGAACTGGCCAAGTGGATCCACGCGAAGATCACCGAGCATATCACGCGCGCCATGCGCGAGAACGTCGGCCTGTTCACCGCCATCGACAACAATCCCAGAAACGGTAGGTGTCGGATATTATTGCGTTTTGCTGATTGCGGTGCGGTCGGTACGAGCGTTAATTAAAATCAATCGGGTGCTCGGCTAACGCCAGCGTTAATTAACGTTAATTAACGCCATCTACGCGAATGGCTTTATTTCACGTTAATCATCGTTTTCGAGTCGAGTCGGATTTCGGTCGTGATTGCACGTGAATAATTGACGAGTGGTTTCTATACTCTGTTACGATTGTATATTGATGTCAAATAATTAAATATTAATGTAGAATATCAAAGAGAAAACCACATTCTCGCCATAATACACGCGCACGTTTAGCATGTTTGTTTTGCTATTCTGAAACTATTACGACAATGGAACAACACGGAGCTAAAAATCTCCTTTATTAATTGATTAATTGATAAATAAGTCAACTGATTGATAATAGGTACATAATTAATATATATATATTTAACTGATTTATTAATTGCTTATTTTAAAAACGTAATTCTTGGGAAGAAATTCTTGTGACGTGTAGTCTTATTAGAAAAATCGAAACAGCCAAAGTAAAGTTTGATGATACGAACTAACGTTATTAATAATTTCTTAATATTTGTCACAGGTGAGGTATCGTGGGACGAATATCACGCTTATTTCCTGAGGATTCACGGTTTCTCCGAGACCTACATAAATTCCCACAACAAGAAGCACAGCGAGATGCCGAGGGCGCTGAAGGAGAGCATAATGAGGGATCGTGCGCGGTGGGCCGAGGCAGCTAGGAACGATCCCGAGAAGTTGGCGCTGGACGAATTTCTAGCTTTCACACATCCCGAGAGCAGTCACCGAGCTCTTCTGCAAATGGTGGAGGACCTCTTTGAAAAATTCGGTCGGGCATATCATCAGTCCTGTACCTACTTTTTACTTTAGTTTTGACCAACGCGAATTCGCGTTAACCGCAGCCCGTTCGCACACTCTTCCAGATCGGGACGGTGACGAGCAGCTAACGGAAGACGAATTCTCGGATTTGCCGTCGGAAGGGATCGGTCTGGATTTACGCGAAGATCGACAGCAGCCGATAGGAGGCAGCGAAGACAGGCGTAAGGAGTTCCGACATCTGATTGACAAGAATAAAAACGGGAAAGCGGATCGAACCGAACTGCTGGTGAATAATAGAATACGTAATAAGAGACGTAAATAAGTTAATAAGAGACACGGAAACTCCGCGATTCAATGAACGAATAGTAGATGAACAATATTATTTATTACAAGCGATATTTTGCAGCGTCTTTCCCTTAAATATGACGTAATATAAGAAATGCTTGAAAGAGACAATTTTTGCAAAATATTTTTGCAAAATTTTAACTTTGAACACATTGTGACTGTGTATTAAAATTAAATGTCACGAGATTGGCATAATGAAATGTTCTTTGTACATCTTTACGAATCGCTATACGCATAGACATGTACAAAAGTTTCTTTTTTTTTTCGACTTTATGATAAAACCGAAACTTTTCTTTTAGATGTACATCGATCCACGAAATCCCAGACATGCTATCCAAGAGGCCCAGCACTTGATCACTCTGTCGGACACGAATTTGGACGGGAAAGTGGATCTTTCGGAGATTCTGAGCAAGATGGACCTATTTCTCGACAGCAAGATGGTAGACACCGAGAAAAGTTTTCACGATGAATTTTGATAATTTCCGCGTGTAAACGAATGTAATTATAAACATTGGAAATTGAAATGGAAGGTTCCTGCTTCGGGATACTGAGAGGTTTTAGACAATATGATTTTTCCATCGATGGTCAATAAAGGAAGACCAATAATGTAGTTAATTAATCGATTTGTGCAGGGTACACATTAGCAAACTTTAACGGAGTTTCTTTACAAACGTTAATCGACTTATCGCGCAAATAGAAATTGTAGGCTTTTAGAACGTATCTGTGATAGTCTTTACGACGTAGATTGAATATCGTTTAAGTAGGCACAATTATTAGAAGTATTTGAAGTTATGACTATAATGGCGGATAAGCGGTACGTTAATTTGTGATAAACAAGGAAATGATTCAATCAGATCGTTTACACTTAGGATGATCAATAATTAATTGGATGAACGACGATAATATGAAGGGTTGCAAATCCGTCCTTTTGTAGACTCTCTTTCGCGACTTCTTAGTGTTTCTCGTGTGTGAATAGGTCGTAAACTATATCTAGAAGACTTATTTAGATTCCAGATACAGAGATTAAAAAAAGAATTCTCCGTTTTGAATTATCGGTCTAAAGATATCGTTTGAATCGTGCAAGAAGAAAATATCAGAGATAATAAATAACATAATATAACTATTTAATTTGTGATATTAATGAGGTAATTAATATTAATATATACAACAATACGTTCGTACGTTATACATATGATAAAATGATAATATAATGTCACGATATTATATAATGTAATATTATATATTTAACATGAAACAAATACATTGAAGGCGAGAAACTGCAAAAAGTTTACGAAATTGAAAAGCGGGAAATGTCTGAAGATGTTATGACCAAAATATGAATTAACATAATAGCCCGCTTTGACGAAGGCCTCTGACAACTTGGAGAACTGAAATGCAACTCGTTGCTCACTATATCGACGAAAAATGTACATATATTTGACGACTTAATGTAATCTCATTTTAAGGTAAAATTTCGTATTACATACATTTTAAAAAGAAAAATCGATGTTCCTTCGTAGAAAGATTTGCTAGCGCCGTTTTTCTATATGTGATCTGGCACAATAAAACAATTATTTAGAAACAAGCCGCCTGTGTTGCTGCATCTCATCTTTTTGTTTCGACAACTTCGAACGCAATATACCTGTTAAATAATATCTCAAAGTTATTTTTATTTGTTTTTATTTGCAATTTTCGACACTTGTATATCTGTTTGTTAAAATATATTAAATTTAAAGTTTTATAAAGTAATTAATATTACAAAAGAATTAAATATTAATAAGTTGTAACAATTTGTTACATTTTATATAACATTAATTGCAAAATGTTGTATTTTCTCACGTACAAAATGTTTTCTTTTCATTTTTAGATTCCTAGGAAAGATAGTGAATTTATCGATCGATGAAATACCGTTGAAATAAGCTTTATAAATAATCTATGCTGCTATGCACGAAGTAAAGTCACCTCTACAACGTTGGAAATTATAACGTTACGTTATTGGGTGTAAAAGTTTCGTATTTCGTTTACCTTAATTTTGCGACGTAAAAGTCATTTATAAACTTTCCCACGTTAAAATATATCTAATCCTGTGATTGAAAAAAAGTTATACAGAAAATTGTGATTAATCCAATCACTATAAAGTACAGGCGTAAAATACAAATTAAGTGACAAAAACTTATTAAAAGTACCTTTGCGTGTCACGTTAGATCAAATTTAACTAAATTTCCACACAATAATTAAATTAATATAGCTTGATATAGTACTATCAATTCGCGAAATATAATTTTCTTAAGAGGCACTTGCTTCGTCTGTTCATTCAATTACGTTCTTATTCATGTACTATCACAAATGTACTATCATAATAGACACAAAGTAGTTGGATTTTTATTGGATTTGTTCTTTGAGAATACAATACGTATTTTCAAAGAAAAACTTAGCTCTACCAAAGAGTTAGTAGAGCTTTGTAAGTTACAACTCGCTCCAGGCGATTGTCTTGATTTTGTGGTATAATTTACAAAGGATATCTTGAAAATTGGTTTCTCGACTAACTCAAATTGGACAAATTATTAAAGCGAAATCCATTTTATATACCTGAAAAGATTTTACGATTATTTTAACGCTATAAGATGGACAGAGAAAGAAAATAACGTTATTATATGGTAGATAAATGTGCAATCGTAACATAACATTAATATGATATTAATATACAAGAATAAGCGAGTAATTTCTTTTATGATACAAAACTTCATCTGCAATTTTAATAATTTATTTGATAATAACAGGTACATTATATAAACATCCTGCAAATTAATTTAACGGCAATTGGGAAAACCGTTGAAGGATTTAGGATCGTCGACGATCCATTTTCATGCCAGTTTACAATTGAAACTGAATAACCGAACTCAATTGTTCAGTTATTCGTTCATTCTTTTGCAGAGAGAATCTACGCGGCAAGAAAATGAGTAGTATTTTGGCGTCACATAATTGCCTTTCGCGAAACCGGAGATAGGCTCGGCGATTCTCGAACTCGAACTTGAGTATCATACAAATTTAATGTGTCTGGGTAGGAAATAAAATTTATTTAAAAGTCTCGCGATGTGAACGCATATACGAAAAAGCAACAGCTGGAATGCTAGACAGGATAAAAAGTCGAAACTCTGAACTTTTTATTTTTAGCGATATTTAGACCAAAATTAACCGTAGTATTACCATAAAATTCTTCTATCGCCAGAGCCTCTTAATAGCGCTTTGCGACCTTCAAACTTCGCCCATTTAGCTGCTCGTGCATGTTCAAACGTTTGATCCGCGCACTAATTATGAGTGTTAAAGAGCAGGATTTTGTCGGATAATGAGCGGGCAATTTTAGCCGGCGAAGGTTAAATTGCATCTGATAGCTTCCTTTGACGTAGGGACTAATCTTTCGCGATTAGTAAGCCGGATTTCCATTTCTTGTGAACTCCGACGATCGATTTTCCCGCTTCAAGTTTTTTATGATTAAAAAGACGAATTGCTCCTTATCGTTAGACCATTCTCGATTAAAGCGAACTGAGTGCTTAATAAAGGCAATCAAGCATTTATTAAACAGAGCCATTGATTATTATTACTGAAGAGATAAATTCTACAACAAATTTACAGGCGCTTTGTTTTAACAAACATTTCTTCAGAAACTGATATTTATATTTTTTTATTTGCACTGAGAAACAAATAAAATATCTTCGCATCAGTTTTGTTATTAAAATAATTGTAATTTTTTCATTTTTTTGCTAAAATCTAAATAATCAAAAAATGGTTTTAAACTGTGATCTAATTTACAAAACAATCTTTAAAATCGCATTACTTGATGTAGCAGCTGCTCAGTATAATTATTTAACAAATAGATTATATCAGTGATGTCCAAAGTATGATTCATATTATAATTGTCTCTACGATACAGTTGCAATTCCAACATTGTCAAAATTCAATAAGGTATAGCAATATAATTTCAACTAAAAAGAGATGTAAAAGTGATCTAGAATATTTTAACAATAATATAAATTAAGCCAATAAGATAATATAATAGATATTAACGTTTCATTTAAAACCATTTTAAAACCATTTTAAAACGGCGCTTTATTTCAGTCACGACGGGAAAGAAATTTTTGAAATATACAATCTATTTAGAAAAATTTGGACGTCACTAATTTACATAAATTACAAGAGAAGATGTGGATCGCATCACGGGACTTGAAGATTCAGCTTGACGTACGGTCAGACCCTAATGAGAAATTCTCTCACTGTGACGTGACACATACTGTGCGGATCTGCGTCAAAGGGAAATCCGTCTCCTTTGATCGGAAGTCCGAATGCACCATCGGCAGCTCCACGATCCAAGGAATTATTTTACTTCGAGGCTGGCTGCCGGACGTTGAAAAACTCACGCATTTGCTACGATTAGACTGCCGTCCTGAAACGTGGAGTAACGACGCTCTTTGTAGGAACTATCCAAGTTTCCTGGCTAGGAAAGTTGCATAAAGTTGCAAAACACATGTAAAGAATGTAATTTCAAACGAAATTATATTACAAATCATAGGGCTGCCTTTGATCAACTTCTGAAAAATTAAACAGATAGATAAACTTTCGAAAACGTTTCTTTCTGAATCGATCAATTCGGTTAATCGAAGAATTAATCGAAAATTTGATTGTTCCTTCAGATTAATTATACCAAAGTAAAATTCGATTTGAGCTAATTTAACTTTTGATATTTTAATTCCGTAACATAGCGATTCTAATTATAAAGCGAGGGATGAAGTAATCTGTTTGGATTATGCTTATATAAATCCTGTTATTCCGTGGGGAAACATCAAGATACTGTGTGTGTGTGTGAGTGTGAGAACAAAACGGAAGATAAGAAGCGGCGGAGCAAAAGCTATTACATCAAAAGTATCTATAGGCTGGATGTAATCTCGAGAACTCTAATACATTGTCATTTCCTTTCGCCATTTCCTGCGCCGGAACTTCCTCGCTCTGTAAAGTGAGACACAAAGGACAAAAGACAGATTTGTTTTGTATCGGTACAAAAATATTTTTGTTTGTTAAGCAGAAACATTTTCCGTGAAAATAATATCAGATTAAGTAATATGTAAATGTCTTGGCTCTTGAATTATTCAGTTATGTAGAAACACATGCAATTAGCGTTTACTAATCACGTTTTTTTTTAATTGCATGCATATTTACTTTATGAATAAAACAATATTTTAATCCCTCAGTATAAATAACGGATTAATTAAATCAAAGTCGTCAAATTATGAAAAATAAGAAACAGATAGATGAAAAATGCAAACAAAATTAAAGTTGCATTTAATAAATGGTGCATTAACAAATAATTGCTACGCAATTGCTTGCTTATTAGAAACATTCATCCCAACGTACGACGAGGAACTTAATGTCTTCTTTGCACGAAAAAGAAGCGAACGAAATCAGAGCGATTAACAAAAAAAGCAATTATATTCTCTATACAACATTAATACATTGGAATGCAGCTAGATACCTCGAGAAAGTGCGCATTCACCCTTCTCGTCTCTCTGTTCCTGTATTCTATAACACAATGTGGAACGATATAAGATTGGGGAACAGACACAGATCGGCGGATCGCCGCCGGCCTTTCTCAATTATTACTCACTCGACAGACTGACTCGGTGGCGGGATATTTCCGCCGCGAAAGCACAGCCTCAACAACTCAGTAGGTCTCGTTTCCTCCTCCTCCACCTCGATCACTACATACGAACAACAAACATTGGAAACACGCTCTTATTCATATTTTACAGCAAAGCTAAATTTTCTATAAATCAAATTTTCTACGAAATTTAAGAAAAGAATTTAAAGAAAGGATCTATAAATGCAGAAAAGATTTTATCGCCGGTACATAAGTTCTCTGTGTCGATGTTCCAAAAAAGAATGAATTCAATTTATTATAATATTATAATAATGTAATAACGCTTGAATACGGTTATCTGCTCCACTGATCTGATAGATTTAACGGTATTATGAGGAAGATGTATTTTCGGGTAGAAATGTCCCTAAGAATTACTATCATTATATTAATGCTTTAAATAATAAATCACAAAATTGCGCTTTTTAATGTGTAAAAAAAATATTTAACACAAGAAACTTGGCGCTAAAGCTTAACATATATGATATCCATAATCATATTAAGATATTTTAAACTCTAGCAGAATTAAGTTAAATATTTTTTTATACATAAAAAAATACAATTTTGTGATATTATTTTTTTTTTAATATTAAAGATACTATCACTTAAATTGAAGCAGGAAGAATCTTGAGTGGAAATATGAAGATATCACTTAGGCTATAATTTTTTTCGCGTTTAATTGGTGAGGGCATTTGGTGTCTTTTTTACCTTTTTCTGAAAAAAAATTATTAACGCTGTAAATAATAAACTATATCAACCCATTAACAGGAAATAGAGAAATCCAATCAAAAGATTAATGTCAATGCTCGATTATTGCGACCATTATGTAAAGATACAGGTGTTAATTATTCTCAAAGATTTCAAGAACTAATTCATCATTGCTTTTTGTAAAAAATAATTTAGTCATCGGTCCTCTTTTGCAATATAACTTATAAAGAGTTTACGTGTGCAGTCAATTAATGAGAATTAATTAATATCAAAGAACGCGTATCACATCTCGAGCACCTGGAGGAGAACGCACGCTCGTCCCAGATGTATTTAATCATCTCATTAGTAGATTAATAGCACTGATCAATCAGCAATATTAGAGGAATATTTTTCAACAAAAAATATATGATCGGCTTATACGCATATACTTCGTAATCCGAGATTACAGATTTTCGATTTCCACGACGATAATAAGCTGCAATCGGTTATCTGGTTACCTAATGCATTAATGCGAATTTGTATAATAATAACTGTTACACATTTGCAATCGCCTTTATATCTCGTAAATACAGTAGTTCCGATAACATAACTGTATATACTATATACTGTACATAATATACTAAAAAGTTTATTTTACGTATAACAAAATTTTAATAGAAAGAATAAACATTTTTTGTACGTGATAATACGTGTCGAATAAAAGCAATTGTTTACCAAAGTTATTTTATTTTGTATATTTTTTTTTAATAAAGAATTTTAATTTACTAGAGTAACATTTCGTCGTTACAGATCACATTGCAAATGTGAGTATTTTACAAATACTAATTAGACCGTTTACATCATTTCTTCGGTTAACCCAGGGCGGAATTTATACATTTTTCTACGGAATTTGTTCAATGGAATATATTTTTCTACGGAAACATATATGTCTTCGAGAGATAATAATGCAATATCAATTTTTAAGAGGCTTGAGATATGGTTCTCGTTGGAGAAGAAATTGCCTGCTGTCTGAATGTTTTTGTCACTGATGTAGTATGCATTTTCAAGGAAATATTTGTGTGTCTAAATTAGTAGATTGATTTTCACACTTACCCGAAGTTACTCGCTGGGGTTGACAGCCGATAAATGTTGACTGTCTTCTAGTCTGCAAGTCGCCTCCTCTCAGAGAAAGATAAACGGCAATAGTTTTATCCAAGGCCAGTCTTACCTGAGTGAAAGAGAGATATAAAACTCTCTCATGTCTCTCTTTCTATTTCTTTATAACAATATAAATTATTATCTAATAAATAATCTCATAAAAAAATAAACCTTTATATCTTTCTTATTATGCTACGATAATGAAAGTAATACAAACGGGTTGTCTTGGATTGCTCGTGCTTTCCGTTTATTAATTATCTTTAATTGTTAATTTTATAGATTCTTTGATTTGATTTGATTTTATCATAAAAACTTGGTGAATAAATAAAATTATAATTTGCAGTTATTATATTTCACCTATATATTTTCAAAAACTGAGTTGGCAGATAAGTTTAAAAAATTTTAAAGAAGTATTGTCTATAAGTAATCACTTATAAAGTCATTATCTTTTCTAAATTTAATAATTAATTTGTTATAAGTTTATAACAAGTTAAACAAGTAATTGATTTAATAAACATTAATTATAAAAACAAGTGAAAAATAATCTTATACCCAGATAACATGCATGTTGCATAAGACGTCGTAAAGACATCTTTAAGACAACTAAGATATCTTTACGACGTCTTATGCAACATGTTATCTGGGTATTGGTTATCGATCCGAGTAGTATACCAGCTAGTAAATCTGAATTGGACTGATTAAATAATATATTAATTTCAATTACGATTGAGATGCCTTTAGAGGAAATCGACTCACCTCGCCGTTAAGAAAGCAGTAAAGCGTCGCGATGAAGAGACCCTGAAACGATCGCAGAAAATGCGTGGAGTAAGACCACACAGCGAACTTGTTTACATTATCCAACGGGGCTTCGATCATGAACAGCACGTTAGTGATGCCCAATAATGGTAATAGTACCACGGCCGCCCTCACGGCTTTCCTACGTGCAGCAAAAAGATTATTTTAAATCGGAATTGCTTTTCCTATAACGATGACGTGATGCATACGCTCGTCAGTTGCCAGTCATGTCAGTCATTTGTGCAAAAAAAATCAAACATGAAATGTTCGTAAAATTTGAACTAAATTAAAAGTAACGAGAGTAACGCGGGTGTTCAACTGAATTGTTTAATTAAATAAAAAGATTAATTAAAACGGAACAAGTGAATAATCGAAGCGGAATATACTAAACACGACTAATCAATAAATCCTTTATATGACGCAGAATTTTTTATATTTATTAAATAACATAAAAAATGATTTTCTTAATGCAGAAAAATTTAAACGAGATAGCTGATTAACTACTTTGAGAAACACGCGAGAAAAATTATAAATTCCGAGATTCGAAAACATGTCTGAAATCTTTGGCACTTGATCCTTAAGCAGAAATCCTAATCTGCTGTTTGTGCGTTACAATACTTACAAAACTTGTTCAATCTCGCTTGTATGACTTTGCCGTAGCTTTACCACGAGCACTCTTATAATGTTTAGCAAGAACAAAAAGTTGAGCTGAAAGAAAATAACGAGAAGAAATATGATGAAATAGAGTAACTTATTGATAATTTTTAATTGATTATTAGATACAATGTCAATTATAAGTTTGTAATCGCCGAAAAATAATCGCCCGATAGCTTCTCTCAAGGAACCAATTATTACGTATATGATGCAATTTCATTATTTAGCTCGCCATATTATAAAAAAATTATTAATATAAAAATAATTACAGTTAATTTAAAATATGCGTAATCGATTTCATCTTCTTTAATCGGTTATTAAAATTTTGTTACTGTAAGTTTTTCTCACCAATATCACTGCGAATCTGGGTCCCTCAAGGATCCAAAAGTAGGACGATAAATTGTACCCCGACCAGCATCTGAGAAACCTAATATTTCGATATATATATATAATATATTTATCCATAAAGTATACGACGTATGTATACTTGAATATATTCACTGACGTTAACTTATCAAAAATGTTAACTGTTATTTCGGGCAGAACAAATTCTTTTCAACAGGGATTCCATATAATTGTCAAATAAATCATACTTGTGAAATATTCTCGGAGTGGTATTTAAATAAATAATCACAGAGAGATAATTAATGTTCTTTAATTCGATACCCACACGAATTTAGTTTAATAGAATTTTATTTCAATGCTTTGAGTTACGAAGTTATAAGCTTTTTGGAAAACAAAGGTTTTTATCAATATATTAAGATGACACGTGATTAAAACATGCTGGATAGTGATAGTACATACACTGGTCTCACATGCTCTCTGCAAGCGAAAACTCACTTTGATTTTGGATGATAATAAAACGCCATAACGAGAGCCCAAGCTGAGGTCATCAGCACTGGACATCCCCATCCAACAAATCGATACATCCGGTAATAAGACGTCTCTTGAAAGATCGTCACTGAAAAATCATAATTCTTGAAATGCGAAATTACGAATATGATAAATCGTTAAATTAAAATCCGAATTAAAGTATTTTTTTTTTTTACAGCTAGTATCTGTCGACAATATTTTCTTCACCGGTTCCTATGATGAAAGTTGTGCTAAAAATCACAGCCAACTTGTTCTTTTAATTTTCTTCTTAAGTGACGTTCTTTTTCCACATCTTTTCTCTCATGTCACGCTTTTAACGCTCTTAACGTGCCTTTTGTGCCAATATATATGTAAAATGCGTTCTGTTTCCGAGGTACATACCAGTCACCATGTTGTGTAGAAATAGACCCTCTATAAACATCCACATGAACATTGCGGTCTTAACGTATTCCAGCAGCACATAACTAGCCTCGCACAGCACCGGCTATAAAAGAGGCGGAAAATATATAATCTGCGTTTCGCGCAGAGTATAAGCTCATATAAGCCATTTCTGTATGCGCGAGGAAACACGACGCAGAATAATTGATGTTTGGATTTAATCTAGCAAATTTAATCTAGGTCTATAGGGCTTGGTTTTGATAAAATCGCATCTCCACTCGTTCCCGGGCTTTGCGGAGAGGCTGTGTCTTAAAATGCGTAATATTTATCGAGATCACTATCGTCTCGTATTAAGGAACAATGTGGCGGAAACAAAAAATAAAAACGTAAAAATATATGTGTACACTCATCCCTTGATGATTTACGTGGTACTTTTTACACGCGGTTTTTTTACGCAGTAAATAATCCCTCCGTTTACGAGGATACTTTTTATACGCAGTCAGAAAATATGTCTTTCTATATGGTATTTATTGAACTTATTATATATCCAAGTAAGTCAATAGTATATGTTTGTAAAGAGTTGGGAATGTCTTTTTAAAACGCCTTGCAACCCTGAGGGGAGTCAATAACGATACATACATACATAAGTCAATAGTAAGCCAAAAGTTCTCACTTGATTGTACTTATTTTCACAAGTAATAATTTACTTTTCTTGCACTTTGTGCTAAATAAAGCAAAGTAAATGTGAAATAGATGCTCTTACAACACACACTGGCTTTTCTTTTACATATTTTGTTTTTGTACTGGCGGACTTCAACTGCGCATTCCGATATTGTTATTTACACGATTTTCTGTCGCGTAAAAAGAAACCACGTGAAACGAATAATCTGTATAAATCGAGGAACGAGTGTAATAATATTAGATCTTCGCGAGGAAGATCGAAAAAATAATTCCGCGCGCCTTCTTTCTTTCGCACAGTTATAAAAATGAAGTAATCCCATTGTGTCTTACGGTATTTCCTATTCCTCGTTGCGCGCCGTGCGGCTTCCTACGATAGATAGCGAAGTCTATGTACAACATTAATCTGATTAGCACTTGTACCACCATGGCGACGAAGAGATTCTTGTGAATCCTGGTCCTCGTATTTCGCAACGATCTATGAAATACGGCGCAAAAATTGGTTAGCATTAATTTTAATCGCTCTGTTCTTTAAAATGTAAATTTATGCAAATTAACAGCAGCTTTATAACCGTACGCCGAATATAACTTTGCGCAAATATATTTTACTGGATTAATGATCTCTAAATGTAATTAATAATTGTACATTATGCTACAATAGCTACAATATATAAACATGAAATTGTACTTTTATTGAAATTCTGTCGAACTCCTTTTGAAGAAATATCAATAGTTGTTTCTATATACGAAAAAGTCAGAATAAGATTTCGTCGCGAACGCTTTGAGTTCTGTAGTGTTAAAAGTCAAATTTAAAATCGAGTTACTTCTTTAGAGAAAAGATGTAAAAGCTGTTTTATTTGAACAGAATTCCTTTACACAACTAAAATTCGCGAAATATCCCTTTTTGAAATAATCACCTAAATCGACAGAAGATCACCAGGGATGCAAGCAAAGCCACCAGAGATATGCTCAGTCCAACAAACTCCAGAGTACGGGTTTTCTCGGCTATTTCCATTTTCATCTGGGAAAGACACAAAGCAGTCGAATATGATAAAACTTTGTCTGTGTTTCGATATAATGAAAAAAATATTTGCATCCCATGGATATATATTTTATCGCTGCAGAGATTCGCAGAATTCTTCACAAGAGATGCGAGTTATTAGCAAATCGATTTTCATATAACGATGACATTCTATTTTAATTTAGTATGAAAATTTAAATATATATATGTATCTACTTCAAAACGAAAAAGTAAAAAATACAAAGTGTATATGTACAAAGACAGGTACAGATGCAGCAAAATACAGAACAATATGCGAAAATATTCATACCTTCAGAAAAGAGAATGGCTGTATTCCCATATTCACTGTCAATATTGAAAATTTATAGTATACGTGATGCGAACTATAGATTTTCAGTACTGGCAGTGAATATGGAAACATAGCTATAAACAATATGAAATGCAAAACTCGAGTTGCGTAGAACTACACGTTTCAAATAAAAAGGAAAGAACTGGTTAAATAAAAGAAAGAGACAGAGAAAAAGAGAGAAAGATTGAGGCAATGATCACAATTTGCATCATCGTTACGTCGACAAAGAAACACAGCCTTTGAAGTCAAAATAGTACATGTAAATAAATTAATAATTAGTTTAATAATAATGAGGCTTATTAATACTTATTAATATTTAAAATTTAAAAGCTAAATAAATAAAAATATTTATTAATTTTTTTTAGAGAATATATAATTTTTATTAATTTTTAGTAAATAAAATAAACTAATTGTTAGTAATTTTAAAAAGCTGAATTAAAATCAATTCTGATTAAAGCACGAGCTTTTATTACGCGCATTGTTTCTATACATAAAAATAAATCAATTTTTAATCTTCTGTTAAATAATTTGAATGGTGGAACAACATTGAGAGAATTAATTATTATTTAAAAAGTGATGTTTATACATATAATTACACATATATAACTGTTTAAATTTAGCTTAATTTATAGAGATTGGCACATTGCAGCTCGTTAACTTAAATGCAACGTCTGCGATAAAACTTACTTCGCCCTCAACATTATTGTTGTAGACTCTGTAGTGAAGCCACAGCATTTCTGGCGTTAAACAAGTAGTATAGTTTGCCCAGCCGATGAACAAATCCTCGTTCATGTTTGTGCCGTTCTGTGCCTCCCAACGTCCATTGTAACCGCATTTCTTCTCCACGGATTCTAGAAAAATATACGCAAAATACACAAAGGCATGGAAATCCGATCAAAATGCAATCCGCTGGAAATGTCAATCCCATCTTCACTTGATTGGCCAAAACAGCATCTCACATTTTTATTCCAACATTTATGTTTTTCTTACTGGATTGTAACAATGTTAAACAATTGACACGTGCTCAAGTTTGCAATAATATATAATTTGAGTATGCTTGTACGGTATAACTGCATAACTGTTGAAGATATCAGATAATTATCGGTCAGTCGTTGAATTTATAAACTTTATTCGGAGTATTCCTTTTTTTTCCGTTTTCCTGTTTTTTCGATAACAGTGTCTCTTTATGAAAGCGTTTCTTTTTTTCGAAAAAAATCGCTGAGGCGAGCAAGAATCGATCTTGATATCAAGAGACACGGTAGTGTCTCGCGTTAAGTACCTACACGCGGAGCGAGACCGACCGTGACTCATTTACGCGACGCGACGAGTTGCGATTATCGTATTACTGTAAGAGCCAATTTCATCAACCACGGTTAGCTTAACCGACGGTTAAAGTTAGCAGGATTGACCAATAGAAATAAATCCACCCTGTTAACTTTAACCGTCGGTTAAGCTAACCGTGGTTGGTGAAATTGGCTCTAAAAAACGTATATTTTTACCGATTTCATACCCTTGATAAAAGCGTTACGTCCGAGTTACTCCAAAGCTGAAAATATCTTATTTTGCATTTTACGTTAAAATACGACGAAATCCTGGTGGATTAAAAAATCGAGTTATATATACGAATCTAATATTTTTTACATTAAACTTTCATGTTAGAGAACACACTGTAATATGAACGGAAAAACGCATTCGATAGATGTTCTGCGAGATTAAAGGAAGTATAGAGAAGATTCTGACGTAGTCTCTCTGTCCGCTATCGTCTTAAAGATTTCCTTAAAGCTTGGCAAATTGAAAGGCAATCGACGGCCGTTTTTCATACTTGGAATACTCATACCATTCAATACGTTGTGCACATATACATGCGAAATGACTACGTAATGGGGCAATGCTATTTGGCGATTCTTTTCTAAAAATTATAAACAATTAAGTCATTAGAAACATTGCATCCGCAATTTAACGTTTTAAGATTTCACCTTGTATCATGAAATTTTGTAAGTAGTAAAAATTTTTCTTTCATATACATGTATCTTTACATGGATGTTGTCGATCGTAAGAATTTTCGAGATAATCAGATCTCGACATCGAAAGAGTGCCGAGATACAAGTACACGAGTACACACAAACGTATAAACTGTGGTTTTTTAAATCTTCTATTCCATTTTTTTAGAAAAAATAAAAACGTTGAGAAATATATAATGAATAGAAAAATGTACGTATTACATTTCTCGGCCTTTTAATTAAATATTGAGCGAAACGTTTAACAGCTCCGCAAATCTTGATTTTAGATAATATACATAAATTATTAATTTTTTAAAATAAATAATAAAATTATATTTATATCTGTCGATTAATTTTGATATAAAACAGATCTAATTTAAAACTTAATTATATAAAATTATTAAGCCAAATTTTCTTTTTCTCTTTATATTACTTAATTAGTATTGCGTGACATCTCGTTTAAACGTGGAACATCTTGTTAATCGATAGTTGATTCGTTTAATGTGCACATTCTATTGCATCAAGTTTCTCACAATTTCTAATATTATAATTTTACAATTAATAGAAATAAAATATTTTTACCCACATAAAAAACGATCAATTTATTTTTCGTAAATAAAAAGTGAAAGTATTTTGACCCAGATGGGATAGAAACGCTTTGATCCTTCGTTTCCGAGTCGCGACGAAAATCATTATCTTTCATTCCTGTTCAACTTGGTTCCTTAAAAACGAAACACGATGGAAGTTGAAAAGTAAAAGATGCTAAGCTTTGTGATGTACGTAACGGGAAGAGAGAAAGAAACCGTAGTAAAATACTATATATCGACAATTAAGAAATTCATCTTACGACGCATTTGCAGCACCGTCACGCTATCGAATGCAATCAAAGTGCGATCGAAGTGGTTCAAGAGAGGACGCCTTAAGCCTTGTGTCCACGATGCTAGAAATCGCCTCGAGATCTCGGACGGAGAAAGAATTGACCAATCCTATTTGAACAATTCGGCCAACTGACCAATGCGATTGGTCAATTCTTTCTCCGTCCGAGATCTCGGGGCGATTTCTAGCATCGTGGACAGACTTTAGACGTGCCGAGATGCACGGAGAAAACTTCTTTGCACTTATCCCTGCTACGTCGAAGATGCAGATAAATACCTCTGGTCGCGTTCAGTGCAAAATGTTTCGAATAAGTATCGATGCTTCCGACATTTTTAACTAAAAACTTGTACCGCCTAAATAAAATATTAATATAATAATATTGGAACTTGTGTAAAGTCAGTAATCATTACTCTTTCAGCGATATAAATAAAAATAAACAAAAATAATAAACAAAAATTAAAAAAATAAACTAAAAAAATTAACAAAGATTTTTATAAAATCTGCTGAAAATTCACGAAATCTTGATATTGATATATTTTCCAATGCTCGATATTTCCGAACAATATAACGCGCAAAGGTCTTTAAAAAGTTTTTGTGACAAATGGTCTTCGATAAAATGTATCTGCTTGTTTTGGAAATGCATCTATATTTCATAACTAATCGTCGCTGTTACAAATTCATTTTATTTACTAGAAAACGCGAATCATATAAAAACACGATTTTTCGAGATTTTACTTGAAATTAATAATCGCTTAATACCTATCGCAACAGGATCTACAGTGCATAATATTGCAGCGACGGCAAAATCCCTTCAAGTGCAGATTACGCGATGTACTTATTCAGCTGTCATTCATTGCCGTAACATGTGTAATTTTGGTCTCATGCTTTAACAATTTTATCGTATCTTTTATTTGTAAACTAATTTAGATCGTTATAATTTGTTCCTAACAAGCGGCATAATTAATTCTGCAGGCAATATATAATTTTATTACAAAACAGAAGTAAAACACAGAGCATGTGCATTTTAAATTCATGACCTTTTTACATAAATTACTGTAGCGTAATAAATTTGTTAACATAAAACTGTTTATAATAATGATTAAAATTTATCCGAGTAAAATGTTTGTAGAAATATGTTACGTTAAATTCACCTTGTTTTTCATTAAAGGCAAGCATGGTGCCCCGGGTATGGGAATCCTATATTTTCGACTTTAGAATCCACTGATTGTGTTTTATGCAGAAATTTTTATTCAGTTTTGATTTTTTTTTAATGCCTCGAAAGTAAAATGGTATAGAAATTATTATGCAACAGACGTCGAAATTACGATAAACGAACAAGTATCCGCAATCACCTATTGTCGATTCAGGCAACGCTAGGGACTATCAGGAAGATTGAGACCCACATTTTGTGTGGGAGAAAATTCATTTACTTACTGGTCGTATCGAATCCATCCACGAAAGGGCATCGCTGCTTCGTCGTGGTAGAGGCTTTCGTTGGCGGCCAACAGAGATACGAATCCCATACTGGATTACAATAGAGCTCTGAAAAATAGAGAAAAATAAAGCAGCGGAATGTTCTCCGCAACACAGAGACGACAATGTTACAGCTGATATTAAGTTGCATACAAATTAGTAGGCCGATATAAAAAAAAAGAAAGATTTTTGACAAACTGCATTTTGAAAAGGTAAATAAATAATTGAATTTTATTAAAAAAAAATAATTTTAAATTTATAAAATGTAATATTTATTTATATTTATATTTTATATGTTATATAAAATTAATTTCATTCAATTAAATAATAATAAAAAAATTATTTCAATATTTTTCAGCAATATTACTTCATTACCTATTTGTTTCATGTAACGGCCGACTATGAAAATTAATATTTTACAAAATGTTCTTTCATATATGCATGCGAATGTAATTTATTAGATTCTTTATAAAATTGTTTCAATTCCCAAGAAGTGCATTTGACATTATATAAAAATTCCAAATTTGTGTGACAAAAAAGATAATAAAATAAGTTGTTTCTTATAAATAATTTTTTCTTTATGTATGTGCACGCGCAAAAGTAAATTTTATTATAAATTAAAACAATTACGGTTCAAGAGCGCAACAAATTAAAAATGCACTTGTTCGTAAAGTGACGTAAAACGATGTGAACGTGAAGAATTAAGGCCTGTCAAAGATCGTACCTCCGAACGGTGCCACGAAATGTTTGTACTGAATATTGCAGAATTCCCGAGTGTTGTTGCCGTTGGCATTTAGGCTGTCCATCTTTCCTCTAATAGGATTCCCATTTTTTGCTCGGTATCTCTACATTTTCGTTCCAGTGCTTGCCGTGGAGTTGGCGGAGAGAAACGTGGAGCGCTCTGTAAATAAGCTCTTTTTCCTGTATTCTCTTTCTTCCTCTCCTAACATTATTTCTAACTTCTTTATCTTAATCCTTAGCTGGCACTGTGGGGTATTAAACGCCCCAGCCTAGTTCAGCTATAATTTAAGCCCGCCTATAGTACGAAAATGGTACTAAAAAATGGAAGAGTTATGAATTTTTGAGTGAAAACAGTTATTTTTTCGTTTTTATTTTACGTTCTACAATTTTTTCATATTTAATATTACATTTTATCAAAATAACCTATGACATCTGTTAAAGCAACAATCGAAGACTATCTTGGAATTTTTTTAAGTAAAAAAAATCAATAGCTTTCTCGCAGCAAGCATTTTAATGGTGCGGTCTGAAATGGCCCCAGTGTACCAGCTGTGTGATTCTGGTGACATGTGCCAGCTAAGGGTTAAATAAAAGAGGAAGATCCAGGAGTAAATTATGGATTATTTTCGCTCTTTTTACTGCAAAAATGTGTCGGCATTGTTTGAATTCGTATCATCTTTCTTTGGAGAGCAGTCCACAGGTACAAAATTGCATCGTAAAAGTACAATGCAGAACTCCGCGTTGAAACGAGATGTTAATGGTCCTGCCGGTGCATTAATATAATGCACTTTTTTATAAAAAAAAAGACAAGGGAATAGAGTTGTTAAATAAAGTGATGTATTCTATGCGATGCATTTCTTCCTTTTAGCAAACCTTCTCTCTTTCTCTCTCTCAACTTTAGCTTTAAAAGGATAGACTTAATTTCATATAAAAGTTCTTTTTATATTCGTCGCATTTTTTATAACTTTCAAAAAATTTATTTATTCATTATTTATATATTATTTACAAAATGTTGCGTTTAATCTAATGTAAGTTAAGTATTTAATAGAATTGTATTGAGTTTTTTCTATAATTTATATCCCATATGTATTAGAAGTAGCAATTATTAATATTAATATACTTTTTTAAGTTTATTAAATTAATTTTTAACATGTTAAATACGTAAAAACCCGTTAGTGTTCATTTCAGCATGCCGATGTTCACAGCCTTATTAAGCTTTCAAGTGAAAGAGGTCAAGCTGAGAATCAACACGTTTTCCGATAAAGTAGCTTAAAAAATTTGAATGCTGTTTCATAAATCTGTCATGTAATCTTATTACTTTTTTAAAGATTCTTCAAAAAAAATTAATTCTTAGAATATCTCAGTAATATAGTCAATAATTTATTATACAAATAGATTTAAAAATTCGTATTTATTTATGCATTACGCTTTATTCTAAATCCACAAGCATAATTTAATTCTTTAAAAAAATATATAAAATTGAATTATAATCAAATTAATATACATTTATAATTAGTAATAACATATCATTTATACGACAAATCAAATATCTTTTAACATAGAATAAATATATATTATGTGTTAGGAATATTATTATTGTTAAAAAGATTTTGAAAATAGCTTGATTAATAGATATTAAGTATCCTTCCGCAACTAATTTAGCTCTGATATATTAAATTTTAGTGGTTAATTGAGTTTTTTCAATCTCTTCACTTTTTATAATCTACCAGTGTCTAATTATAATTTTAAAAATCATAGATGTTATTCAAATTCACGTTCGAGATTTTCCATTGAAATAGGACAATCGATAGCGGCGAGCAAGCTTAGAGCCGCAAACTAGGTCCACATTTTTTCTAATGGATCTAAATCTTTTATGTATGATGGTATATTAAAATGAGGAAGCATCCTTGTCCACGAACTGTGGAAAATTAGAAAATTTTTGCTTCATGATAAAAACTTGAACCTGATAAAAAAATAACCCGATTTCATACTTATAAGCAATTATCTTTAATTTTGTTTGCGAACAAGTTGGCTAACATTCTTTTATTTAAAAAAATAAAAATGTATAATTAATTAAGTAGCGTAAGTAATTACGAGCATACTTCATATATTAATAAACTTATAAGAAATAAAGCAAAATATTATTATTAGTAAACGTATAAGAAAAATAAGGCAATTTAAAATATCTTCGTTTAAAAAAATTATTCAATATTAATTTTTTTTTTAATTTAATAAGAATATTTGTCTTGCAACAATGTAGCACCATAAATATAGTTATACATAAATAGATAATGGCAAAAATACAGAAAATATATAGCATTGAATAGAATTAGTTTATATGTATACCTACATATGAAATCAATTAACATTTACTCGATCAAATAAAGCAATTAATCAAAATGCCAGTCAGCAAGCTCGCAAATATACTTTACAAATATTATCTGCAATTCTTCATTCGATTTAAGATCCGTATAAAGTCGATAACAGAGCTGGGATAAATACATATTCAATCATTAGCATCAGAATTCTACATTGCAGCTTGAATTTCTCTTTTTTAATAAACGAATAGCTTCAGGCTTTATGCCTATTTTTTTTACCGAAGAAGCAACATATTTATTTACGTATATTAATGATATTTTTAAGTTATGATTAGCTATTAATATAATTATAATACAGTTTCTAACATCCACGTTTAATTAAATTGTAATTAATTAGTACATTTTGTTTATTAATATTATCCTCGAAAGTTTTATATGCAATTCTCAGTTTTTACACGTGCGAAGCAAATTTAGCATCAAACATTGTAAATTATTAGAACAATGTGGCAGTTCCTGCCACGTTACATTTATTTCCGATAATTTACTATTAGACACCATTAGAGATAAACGTAGTTCTGCTTAATTCGCAAGGGACACGCGAGATATTCTCGTCCATAATGTTTAATTCCTAATGACATACACGCTTTCAGTTAATTAAACTTAATGGCGAAGAATCATTGAGGGTGAAATTGCTTTGCGAGGAAGAAATAGCTCACCGACGATGCGAAATGCGTTTTCGTATAAATTCGAACTAAATTATTGGCAATTTAATATAAATAAATTATTGTTAATATACTATTGACATTATATCGGATTGTTGATATTATTAGATGTGTATTGAGCTATAGGTTCCAAAAATTGATATTTAATATTAATATTAAGAATGTTAAGTTAAAAACCTAACTAATTTTTAAATATTTTGACCTTTTTTTAAATTTTTGGGTACAGCATTTATATATTTAATCAGATTAAAATAGTTTTTTTTAATAAAAGTACGCAATTTTTAATAAATGTACATTTTGTATTGGAAATTGTTTGAACATCGTGAAAATGTGAAATCGATATTTGATATTCAACAATAAAAAAACTCCATAGTATAAAATTGCAATTAAATAAAAATTTCAAACGCTGCATAGATTTAATATGCATATAAGTATAAAATTTATAAAGAACAATACAATCTGCATCGATATAATTGTGCATTGTACATATGGCTAGTTAATTACGATTTAATTACGTATAATATTAGAAACTGTGTTACAATTATATTAATAGCTATTACTTAATAATGTCATTAAATGAAGTATACGTAAGGGATATTTAATATTAAACTGCACTTTAATTTAAATATAGTAATAAAATTGTTGCAGATTAATATCATTATAACAAAAACTTTATTTGGAGTTTAAAATTTATAATAAATTTATAACGAATTTTTTGAAACTGAATGTGTCTTCTCACCGGTATATTAATAAGCTAGACTGTAGGCCTGTAATCAAGTGGCTCACTATATGGATTAAAGCAGCCTATTACACTTCTTGCTTAAGTAAATCCTTTATTGTTTGACCATTGTTTGACGAGTACTTAGATTCATGGTACGAACCGATCGAAAACTTTTCTATTACCGTGTGAAGCGAAAGTTTAAAGATAAATAAAGTAAAAATAAAAGCGCTTTCAGATATATAGAGTAAAAAAAGTAATTAAGGCTCCTGTACATCTATTTTTAATTTTAGTTTTGACTAAAAATATTTTTGGTACTTCGAAATTATTGTCAATGCAGAAAAAATTTATACAATATTTCAATAAACTAAAAATAAAAATATATTTAACTGAGCAGTTGGTAGCTCCGTGATGAATAAAAATTTCTTATTTATATATATACATGTATAACGAGTCTGGCGCATCGATAAAATAACAGTTATTAAATTATAATAAATTATAATAAATTATAATAATCAATAGTTGATAACGTAATCTCATTACTAATCTTTTGGACTTATTATTTAATTAATTTCATAACAGTGCACTATAGATCTTACCGATATCTTTCCGTTCGTTTTCCCGTTAGTAGTTCAAGCTCGGATTAGTCAGCCTTGCCTGCGTAATTTTTTTCCATTCTTCGAAACTTTTCAAGAGATGCAAAGTACAAGTTTTAAGATTATATGATCAATATCATAAAATAAAACGTGTATGATACGATAATTGAAAAAGAATGACTTTATATTCTTATTCATTGATCTTAATTTCTTTCTCAAAGAATATGATAATATATAAAATATTTGTAACAAAATTTCACACAACTCTATCAAATAATTATTTTATCATAAATACGTTGTACTGTGCAAAAATGTCAAACTAGATTCTAAAAAATAAATTATATGGAAAGATCACATATTCGAAGTGCACTCATCCCTCGATTTACGCGGTACATTTTATACGCGGTTTTTTTCTTTACACGTTATGTAATCACTCCGTTTACGCGATCTCATTTTACGCGGTCAAAAAACATACACATCTTTTTATGGTATTTATTAAAATTATTATATCAATGAGCTCTAAAGGTTCTTGCTTGATTGTACTTATGACATTATTCTGGCCTTTTTTAGTTGACTTGTAAAGAGCACATTAAACTTATTCACACAAGTCATAAAAACTTTTAACATTTACTTTTCTGCACTTCGTGTAAATAAAGCACAACAGAGCAGTACAAACCGCTCGTAGAGAGACACTATATAGCTAAGTTAATCATTAATTAGTCTAAAGTAATATATAAACAAAATAGGTAATTAAAAAAGGTGCAGGTGTCAGAAACTAAAACCAAAATTGCAATCGCAAAAATATCAGAATTAAAACAAAACTAAAATCAAATATGTGAAATAAATATTTTTATAATGTACTCGAGCTTCTCTCTGACCGGGTATTACATTTTTTTATTGGCAGACTCCATTAACGCGATTCTCAACGAGTAAAAAAAAAGACACCATGTGGAACGAATACTCCGCGTAAATCGAGGAACGAGTGTAACGATTAACACTGTTTTTTTAATTAGTAATTCAGAGTACATACTATATTAAATTTTACTATTGTGACAGTAACATTATTTATGCAGAAAATAATAATTTCGATTTTAAAAGCGTGCGAATGTGACAGCCGTGATCAAAATACGAACTTCGAAATTTAAAGGGACGATCGAGAGATCACGCAATACATCATGTAATGATGATTTATTCTTTTGGATCAAAAATCTCGCGAGTTCTCGGAGATCGGAAGATACGCGAACGTCTCAAAGGACGCGTGCCGACTGTTTCGCACTTGCGAATCTTATCCCGCGATCACTCGAACCACGGCGCAGCCTCCCTCGTCATTGGTCCAGCCGCTTGCCAATCCCGTATTACTACCCCTATCGCCGCTTCTTTCGCTCGGGGTTCTTATCAAAGGCGTATATAAAAACTTCTTTCAACACACTATGCCTTCGGGCGTTTTATTTCGACAGAAATGGCTTTATATTCGACAGATTAATCCTATCGCATACAAAACACTCGATGCAATATTACATCAACGAAAATTCATTTTTCTCATATATATCACAAAAAGCGATCTTGCCTGCAATTTTTCGCTTTCAACGTCGTAATAAATTCGATGAATTATTAAGAAAACTTCAAATTCAAGTTTTTTTATTATTATTTAAAACGTTTCTGTGACGAGTTGCTATTCATAACAAATCTTTTTGAGGAAGAAAATTGTGTCTCCGTTTTCATATTAAAACTTTCAAATCTAATAATCGTGAAAACACTCCCGTATATTATGCTCCACTTTCTCGTCTCGATCGATATCTTAAGATTTGCCGAGATAAGATTGCCTGATACTTTCACTGCATCTTGCAATAAATTCGCGAGTTCCATGCTTTGCAAATTATGAATCATTAATTTTAAAGTCTTCATGCAAATCCAATGTGATTCAGGGATCAAACAGAATTTTTTATATCAAGTTCAAAATTTTTAAAATGTTCGCGATCGACTGAATTAAACGGCACGAGCAAAACAAATCCTCGCGTAACGGAATTAACGAAGTGCCCAGGTAGGTAGAGCATAAAACTCATAACGACATCATGGTGACGTTATCATTACTTTAGTCATCACTTGAAAATCACTTTAACTTGACTTTAACGTCACTTTGATCTCATGATGACTTTTTATTCTGCTTGAGCGAATATTTGAAACATATTTTCAAATTCACGAGAAACCGCGCGGGAATATCGTGGCGTACGTAAATATAGGATCCTATTGTAACTCCTACTCGTGCAACCTACGGCACGCTTCTATTTCTACTGGCTTCTGTGCAATCATTCGTGTGTAATGAAATATCGCTTCGGAGGATCCCTTACTCACGAAAGGAAAGGAAGTGCAGCGGATGTATCTTACATTAGACAGCGTAATCTTGTTAATATTTATCGGGCGATATAAGGACGCGTCATTATGGGATAATTTGCAGGATAGTGTTCTCATATTCGAAAAAAAGAGATACGTTATAAATTAAATTGACTATTTATTCAGATTGTCATAATGACTGGACTTCTCTCTGCAATCAACGACTCTTTCGTTAGATCTCTAATCGACTTAACAAAAACGGAGAAACTCGATGTATCTTGTAAAAATCTTTTAAATATATTTATTGGCATCAAAATTGCAACTTATGTAGGTCACCCTACATTAACCATAAATATTGAATAGTGTTATCAAAGCGATATAAAAGGTATATTGAAAATTGATATTAAATTGATTATTTATACGTGAGAGACTATGGAATGAGTCTGAAATAGCCAATCTCGCTGAAAAGCAGTTCAATTTTTCATGAATCTATCACACAGCCTGATTTGCATTGACTTGCAAATACGGAGTTAATCGCGCTAGATGATGAAAATACGATCCACAGAAATTGGATCCAACGGATATCCGCTGATCAAAATGCGTCAAGTGCCTCTATCTTATGCACTACGTAGCTGAATTGCGTATATTTTCATAGATATAGTTCGCGCGCTTGGAAAACACCCGAGACGATCTCTTCTGCAGGAGCCGCGAAGAAATGTGCAATAAGTAGAACATCAGTGGATCTAAAGAACTATTCAGCCAACACAAACTATCCTAGCAGTATGGTAACATTCCGGTTATATTGCAAGAACTTACATACTTACAACGTTACTGTATTGCCTAGAATTATTATATAATACGGACAAAGCAAACTCAATTTCTATGTTCTGTAAATTTTCGTCTATTTTCAATTTTGTCTATTACTTTATCATATTTCTATTATTTTATTGATCCATTTTTTTCCATTTTCGGTATTACAAAATCTTTTCGAAAACCCCGCACGCCCGCCGGGCACATTCAAAGCGAGAAAAACAATATACACACATAATCGAGCCGTGAAATTGGAGGGCAGCCCCGTGTTAATTGCTGAAGCAATGAAGTGGAGCTTGTGACATTCTTGTTGGCATCCCCGTCAACGTCATCGCCGCCAGGCGTTACGTAACGAAGGACACGCCCGGTGCCCGACGCTTTCATTCGGGCATTGTTAATTAAATAAAATGCGCATGGGGACGTCGATTACAAGTCGTTAATTAATATTCGCAGGATATAATCGCCCAGCTGCGTCAGCAATTGTAAACTGCGTGTTTTCGCTTACGTAACGTAGGACAAGACGCGAGCTAGCTGGAGCACGTGGACCGTCGCGGCCACGTGATCGGCGTCACATGCCAAGAATGTTCCCTTCCGTTCGGCGCGGCCACGTGAGCATCGTTTTTCTCTTCACCGCGAGATAGATGGAACATAGTGGATGGAATATGGAATTACGTAATATATCCCGCACAAATTATCTTACCTTAATGTCTCCGCGAAGGAGATAAGAGATAATCTTGCGGATCCTTGCTCCTTGATGTATTATATAGGTCATGGCAATTATACGCGCCAATTATGCGAAATGTTAACGTGATGTAACGTGCGCCGATGTACTCCCCGAAGGAACCAGAGAATGCACGGAATAATATATTATACACGCTTGAGAAAGAAGTTAATTTTTCTTGCGAATAAAATGCTAAAAAACGAAACGACTTTTGAATTTCAAACTATTAATTAAAGTGAAAGTTTCTATGTGTATTAAACTTTAGAAATAAAAATAAAGTCGTAGAATATTTTAAATAAAAAAATAATTCTCACAGAATTAATTAATAAATACGATTTTTTTTCGCCTACTCGCTTTTCTAATGTCTGGTTCGACTAGAAGAAATCTTTTTTATCTAATTCAATTGTATTCAATTTTATTCAATTTAAATTGTAGACGCTGTAATATGTGCGAGGGGAGACCCAAAAATAACCGGAATTGTTTAAAAAGAAATATTTTATTAATTTTTATTAATCTGTTATTCTAGTCTCTTTCAAAGTACTCTCCTCTTGATTCAATGCACTTGTTTCAACGTTTTTTTCACTGCTGGACACGTTTCTGAAACTCTTCAGTGCAGATATATATATATATATGTTATGGTTAAAGCCCGAAACGCGGTTAATCCTAGGATTGACTAACCAATTCTGTCGAACGGCCAAGCGTCTTGGTCAAAGTTTTGTAGTAATTTGTTAATATGGGTGTATAGACAGTATACAAATAGGCGGAGGAGGAACTCCGCCGCAGCCCCTTCCCCCGCATAATAAAACTAATCAAACTCCCAGCCTGATACCTAACTGCTTTAATCAAGAAACTTGGTTATTCCTCAGGATTGACCAGTCAGTGCTAGAAATGCCTGCGTTTCGGGCTTTGACCATAACATATATATATATATTGCAGTTCAAAGCTTCCAGCGATTTGTTTTACTTCGTCGATGTTAACAAAATATTTCCCTTTTAGATCACGTTTTATACGAAGGGAAAAAAAGTGACATATGGAACGAGATTGGGTGTGGATGGGAAACGAAACAATGCCACAAAAAACAAATTAGTCAATCGCGCGAGAACTACGCCATGTGGCAGAGTGATTCACAATAATCACAATAATAGTGTCAACTTGTGATAGAGGTACTTTACAACTAGCAACGCAATGTGCAATTTGTGCAACAACGTCTCGCACATCACAATCGAAATTCCGGTTATTTTTGGGTCCCCCCTCGTATGTGAAAAATTGGCTCAATATCGATCGAAAAATTTATAATATAAAATGCGTAAAATTTACGAATTATTTATGTAGCCAAAATATTAATCTATACATTTACACAAAATTCTACAAAATATTGTATGATTATTAATGTAAAATAATTTTTTATAACTAATAACATATATACAATTTGCAATTTCTTTTTTGCAATGTCTGATGTATAAAGAAGCTTAAGCACAAAGTGTAGTGAAATTTTTAAAATATAGAAAGAAACGTGCAAATTATGAGTGGCCACAAAATTGAGAAATTGAATGAACTTACCGTGAAGTTCGATTACAATTTATATCCTGTCTCATCCGGATTATTTTAATGTTATTGTTTAAATAAGCGACATTTTCGAGAAAGTCATTACACAGGAGCTATAACACATTATTGGTGAGATGCGCTATCGGCTGTCCTTTAATATCCCATGCGAGATTCCGTGGAAACGCTGAAGTCGATCCCATTATCTAACGATAATGGAGGATTCACACCGCGTCCGGCGTTCGACCGATAAATCCTCCATAACTAAGAGACCTTGGCTGCATTCGAGGAGCGCGCTATTAGCGCTATTGCATCATTCTGTCTTTATCGCTCATCAGGTGTAAAACAAGAATAGAACAAGCAAATAGCGCTAATAGCGCGCTCCCCGAATCCAGCCCTCATAATTAAGAGTCTGGTTATAAGGCAATTTTGTCAAAATCCTACAGTATGCATGGACAGTAGAGCGGGACTCAATTGACCACGTCGTCAATTGATTTAAAATAAAAATATCTGATTGGTTGGTTCAGGGGAAAACTGCAGGCATCGGGGGCTGTGAGTGGCTGTGGTCAATCGCTAGACTACGACGGTCCTTACCCGCAACTTTCGGATGTAAACAATGGAAAACATAACCTAATAACCTAACCTATTTCACAGGCTGAAATATCTCGCGAAAAGGTGGCAGATTTGTTTAAAAGAAACTGGAACAACCAGTTGGAGACACGGCAATAAGTTTAATCTTATCCCGAACATTTAAAAAACTAATTTATCTTGCGTTCTTTAGTTAAAGAACATTAGTGTGAAACCTCTAAAAAGTTAACCTAAAAGCTGGACTTTTCAATAAGAGAAATAAAAGAGTAATATAAATGCAATTAGAAAAAGAAAGCACACGAAGTCATTAGTAAGAAGAGAACAAAGAACTGGATGTGCCAAAAGCCGAAGAACAAGTATTCGGTATTGATGGAACGTTAAAAAATATTCCCATTTAAAAAATCCATCACTCAAATGTCATTGATGATGTTTCATGAAAGGATGTTAATATTTCGCACGCGATGTGAAATATCGCCATGGGCTAAGTAACGCTTTCTGAAATTTTCCGCAAGAAAACTGAAATAGAACAGAGGAAGATACGAAGAGAAAAATATACTAACACTGATATACATGTACCGTACTGGATTAAAAGGGAATAGCTTCATACAAGAGGAGGAATAAAAGTAAAGCGAGGAAACTTTGATTATTATTGCAATATCGAATGTCAACCAAGATGCCAGTTTATCAAGAGGCTGAAGTAATTACTTTTGTTTTTAATTAAATATACACAAGTAGATATACGTTGGGAGCTTCCCAGCAAGCGACACAAGTCGACACCAAGTATCGTTTTATCTTTATTATTCATTAACAAAAAAGAAAGTTGGAACAATGTTTGTGTTGACTTGTGTCGCTTGCTGGAAAACTCCCATAATTGTTCCTCTATGAGGTTACAAAGCTTATCTTGGTCTGTACGAACAAGTGTACAGACCAAACATAAGAATATAATAAGACAAATTTTAATCTTGACCTAATTTAATTTTAATTTGTGCCAAAACAAAAGAGATAAGAGGGTTAGTGAGCCAAGCTGGATGCTTAGCCACTCAATTTTATCTTAAGGGAGTTCGGGTAGAGACTCCTCTTATCTTCTCTTTGTTTTGATTTTTTTGAACCTTGAATTGTTATGTTTAATTTATGCCTATACCTAATTTTTCTTCTCTAGCTACATTATACTTGTTATTAGTATCAATGTGAATGTCGTATAGGAAGGATATTCAAGAATCATTTTCATCTGTTACATGATTACTTTTTTGTTGCCTGTTAAAGCAATAAAAAATATTCATAATAAAATTGATGGAACCGATGTTTCAGCAAATCCAAGCGCAGACGATTATTGTTATCCACCCGGGCTCGATGTATCTTCGTATGGGCCGTGCTTCTGACTTGAAGCCCATTACGTTGCTACACGCCGTCGCAAGGAGACGTTTGTCAAATGGAACAAAATACAAGGATAGTCTCTTACCTCCAACCGTGACACTGGTAAGTAAATGTGCAAACAGGATCGTGTCGCTATCATTATTTCTATTTGTCATTGTCTTTGGCAGACAAAGGAGCTAACACAAGCGATGGAAGAGTCTCGGTTGCAAGTGTCCCATACGCTGCAGTCCTGCTTGCAGTCCGACGGTAGTCGAAGATATGCTACACCTCCGCAGCAAATAGCCGCTTTCAATCGTAGATCTAGTCCAGAAATCTCCTCTCCCGGTAACATGAAGTGGACAACGACCGATCGTGATATAGTTGTCGGTGACGACATCCTGTCGTTAGATCCAGAGGAGGAGTGCAATTTTAATGTCCATTTTCCATACAGAAGAGGGGAGCTTAATATACATTCGAATACGGGTGGCAGCATAACGGCTGTCATGGCAGATTTAAAGACCATCTGGGAATATGTGCTAGCTGAGAAGTTGGATATTCCTTTGAAAGATTTAAAGCACTATCGCGCCGTGCTTGTTATACCTGATATTTATCATCGACCATATCTAAAGGAATTAACAACGCTGTTGTTGGACGAGATTGGTTTTGGACGCTGCATTTTATTGCAAGTTAGTTTGCCTGTATCACACATACTTTTATCAATAAGAGAATTCTTGTTTTTGCGACGAAACAATTTACTACTCGTATAATAGCCAATAAGCTTAAGCAAGTTGGAATTCAAATTGTCTCGTTTTCTTATCGACAGGATCATGTAGGCGCGATGTTTGGAGCGGGTTTGGGCTACGCATGTATAGTAGATGTTGGGGCTCAGAAGATATCGGTATCCTGCGTGGAGGATGCAATCTCTCATAAGGATACGCGTGTGCGTATGGATTACGGCGGCGCAGATGTCACACAGACGTTTTTCTGGCTCTTACAGAAATCCGCATTTCCGTACAAATCGTGCGATTCTATCAACAAGTTGGACGCGCTGCTCTTGGAGCAGCTAAAGATTGATTTTTGTCACGTGGATTTAAATGTGTGTGGGTCACAGGAGAAAACCTTCGTTGTCAGAAAGCCGAAACAACAAACGGAAACGTATACTATGCAGGTGTTGTATCTTTCTCAAATTTATTCTTTAAAAAATGAAAAATTATTTTTATAATATTGAACTTAATACGCTGAAACTTGTTACAGGTTGGCGATGAATGTTTAATAGCACCTTTGAGCTTGTTTCAACCTGAACTGTTCAGAGTTACTGGAACGCATAATGTTCATGTTCAAAAACGATCATTAGGAGACCCGGAAGACCCTTACGATGAGAATTATTTAAGAGAAACAAGTGTGAGTGGCCGCTATTTTTTAAGCTTAATCAACGTTATTCGTTTTTCTTTTAGCACATATCCAAATTCGATCGCTTTCCATTTCAGAGACGTGGGATGAAAGAAACACTGGATCATTCGTCAGAAATGCAAGAGGAGACGGCGGCTATACCTGCAGCTGTAGGCGACGATGAAGTTGTAGTTGACGCCGTTGGTGATCCTGTACCTAGTTTGTCAAATCGCGACTTAGACGCTCCCCGAGATTTCGTGATCCCGCAACAACTGTTGGGTCTTGATCAAGCCATATTGCAGAGTATCGAGCGATGTCGTGAGTATAACAATATTTATCAAACGCTATAGACTAATTAAATAAACGGGTACACAGCTAATCCTCATTTCTTTATAACAGCTAACGAAGATCTCAAAAGAAAAATGTACAGTTGTGTGTTAGTCGTGGGATCGGGCTTGAAATTTAAAGGTATCGGCATGTGGCTTCGCAACCGAATATCTCTTCAAATTCCTTACATGTACAGGCCCGGTAAGTATATCCTTCAAGGCTCCTGATCAATCAGTTGCAATGCTATCTCGCATTACGGAGAACAAAAAATTGTATTGCTGCTTGATGTTTCTTGCAGAACAACTAGATATTATAACACAGCCGAAGGATATGGATCCCGGTATGACGACATGGAAAGGCGCGGGGATCTTAAGCTGTTTGGAATCTGCTCAGGAATTGTGGATCACTCGAACCGAGTGGCATCGCTGGGGCGTTAGAATATTAAGAGAAAGATCTCCTTTCTTGTGGTAGAAAATATTTTCTATATTACTTGTGGTATTTGTGGTATTTATAAGTGAGCATTTTTCTATTTCTGACTTGATATCACGTTTGTCAATTATTATTTTATATTACGCTGCATCACGGTTGTAGCACGAGGTTGTAAAATATTAGATAATTTATCGAATATCATAACAACTCGGTCATTCTGATTTTAGTCCTATCGTTACGATGGTATTGTATTATATCAGCTTCCAGTAGAAAATTTATATAATTTACAACATTCGGCGTGACATCTACATAGATGTCATCTCCTCCTTTCATATAAGCTGACGTTAGTGCCTGTAATCATTATTTTGTACATTAGAGCACAATTGATCGATTGTGTAAAAGAAAATATAGAGTGCAATGTGTAAAAATGATCATACCGCTAATAATTCTTTAAAGCCATTGTTGTTCGGAATTATGGTATCTACCACAGTGTACTGCAAAAAACAAGTTTCCAGTTATCAATATTTCCTTCCGCGTGTAAAAGTCACGCAATTTAAAGCATCGTGCGCGACGAGTCACATAATTTTGCTATACATACCAGATCATTTTTTACTTGCTGAAATATACGTTTTGTTAGGATATGTTCCTCTTCGTATGTCTTGTTTGTGAAGGTCTCCGTGATATCCAGATAAGCTTCCCGCATTTTATCCAGTCCATTTTTCTTATCTCTCAAACTGCAACAAACACGACGAAGATGAAGAAACTGCAGAAGGAAAATTAATGAGGGTGACTCTTCAATATTGATTACTGTACTTACTATACGATGTCTTCCTGGATCTCGGAAAGCTTTCGTTGTAGACTATTGAGGAGATCTTGCATGTCGCGAATCTCTGCCTCCATCTCGGTCATCACTTGTACACGCAAGTCAGATGTTCTCACAATCGGATAATCCTCAGGTTCCACCATTTCGACTTCCTTTCGCAAGCTCTTGTGCAATCTTTCCTGTTTCATTCTCACGTCCTCCAGCGAACTGGATGGTTTCAAAGCGAAAATCTTGTTGTTCGATATCTGGCTTATTAGATCTTCGATATTTTTCTCCACTTCCGCCTTCTTATCCTTCAGCGTCTCGAAAGCGTCCTCCAACGTATATTCCATTGTTTTAAATTATTGTTTTAAAATATATATTAAAATTCACTGGTCGTTTAACGCTGCAAATAAAATTCGACATGTTATTCCTGGGGGTGGGAATATCGATTCGCTTATAATCAAAATTTTCAATGGACACGATGAAATATGTATGTCAAGCAAATAAGGGAATAGTTAATGAATGTTAGCCGAGTGTTTTTATTTTACAATTTTCAACAAATACATACGTACAGAATCAACAACACTTGAATAGGTTACACCTGCAATATCCTACTACTCCACACTGGTTTCTTCGCGTAATTGGAAATAAATTAGAAATTAAATTAAAAATAATAAAAGTAGAGACGGCGTACGTCACGTCGCCATGCGTTTAAAATAAAATAAATATGTTAAATGTTTATAAACAGACATTCCTTCACTCGTCAGCTACAAAAGTCCGCTCTTTGCAGCTGAACTTTTTACACTCGTTTACATCTTTCTTCTTTTTCTCTCCAACATCTACTTTATATATCTATTTCTTTTCAAGTGTAGAAAGTGTAAGTGCAGAACGAGGGAAGCCTCTAGCTGAGGACGAGGTTAGGTTAGGGCTTCGGAGTGGAGGGAGACTGGAGTTGGAGAGTGGAGCTGGCGCGAGGCGCGGTTTAAAGCCGACCGAGAGGAATATTGTCATTTGCTGCTCGTTAAAAATCATCATGCTTTCGCGTCACGCGAGTAAACTTTTGCGCCATTCATATTCACGTGCCGTCTCGAATTGCCGTAGCTTCGCCTCGGCGAACGTTGAAACAGGTATCGTTTACTGAGATACAATTTTTAGGTTATCTTTTTATTGTTATGCCGCAAGGTAGAAAAGTTGACAGGAATGTATCGATGCTGTAGTATAATTATAACTGTGTGGTGTAATAGCTTCTCTTCGCTTGATTCTTATGTGCTGGGATTTAGTTTTTATGCTATAAATGATTTCTTAATCCCCGACATTGAAACCCCGCATGTGAATTATTTAATATTATTCCGTCATTAATGCGGAGTGTGTTAACTGTTTTACTGCCTCTTTCGCACGAAAGTTAAGACGGATTTATTAATCTTCGTGTCTTCCGCGCCAATTTTCACAGATCCCGTAGAAAGAGATCCAGCGCCGTTCTTTTTCAACGAAGAAGTTCAAGCGTGCCTCAGAACGTTGACGACAGTGGACTATAGTAAAGTCCTCCGGACTCGCAGAGATGGACACAAGCTCAAACCGCCGGAGTATAAGTTCCTGACCGACGAAGAGCTCGAGGAAGCTACGAAAGCGGCGAGACGTAGGGCGGAGAAATTTTTGCAAATGCCGCCGGTTGTGAAACAGAGATTAGATCCGTCCGCGCCGTTATGCGAGGATGCTGCGCTACAGAGTCACGATACCGTTAAATACGTGTTCACTGATATCACGTTCGGTCTTCGGGACAGAGAAAGATTGATAGTAATTAGAGAACCGAACGGAACATTGAGACACGCCACTTGGAAAGAGCGAGACAGATTGGTGCAATCCTTTTTCCCGAAGCCGGAAAGGCAAATACAAAAACCAAAAATGTTCGAAGGCGAATACTTGCAGGTACCGTACATTACTTCTACTTTTTAGTATTTAGTTCGCTGATATTTAAGTGTTTGAGAGTAGGAAAGAAAGAAAGGAGGAATGCTCACTTGAAGTGAACGCTAATAAATCGCGGCTTTCCTTACAGGACTTGTTAAATCGCAAAGAATACGAGTTCATCCTGGATCGCGCGTGCGTGCAATTCGAGCCGGACAATCCGGATTACCAGGCGGTCACCCGGGAAGTCTACGAGCACATAAACGCCGAGAAACATTTCGATATTTTAAGATCCACGCGTCACTTCGGGCCGATGGTGTTTCACCTAGTATGGACGAGCAACATCGACAACCTGCTTCTCGAGATGATCGAGACCGGTCGGGTTAAAGATGCCGCGCTGCTGATACGTCTGTATCATATGATTCATCCTACAACCAAGTCGGCGGTTGAGCGGTGCGAGCACACGGACGATGCGGAATTTATTATGCATTACGCGCGCCTCGAGTCGACGAGGAAAGACAAGATCCAGAAGCTCCTGCAGTCGTACAAGGAGTTGCAGCGAGAACGTGAAATCGTGGCGGAGGGTATCAAGCTGGCGCACGGCATTTCTTCGGAAATAACGGATAAGGTGTAAATATACAAATCAATAAATATCTAGTATCTTTTCTTGTTATAATTAATGTAATTAGGAATTATTTCTCCATTTTTCGATCCATCAAACGTGGGATAGCCGACAATAGAAAACTCGATTAGGTCGAATATCTTGATGACATTTTCTACCTTTAAAAGAGAGGTTTCTTAGGGGAAATATAGTTATTTAAAAAATAATATGTCTTGCTTAAAAGTGTCGTTTAGAGGATTACATAAAAGTACGCCGTGAATTGAACTGACAACAGATAAATTGCGGGAAGACGTTTAATGGAAGAACACAGGCGATCCGGATTCGGAGATCATTTATCCACATTCTGTCCGATATAATAGAGTCAGTTCTGATCTTCGCTAAGGAAGCACGATGGATTCTTCTCCGAGATTCAGTCCGCTACGCTTCTTTTATAGGACACCCTATAGAATAAGAGTGAGACTGTGCTGCAGTATGTCATGATTTGCTTTATTCGTTGTTCGTAAGGTTGAATTAAAATCGATTGGATAACAGACACACGGTGGTCGTCAGGGCAATTCGATGATTATTACTCGATTATTTTATTACGTACGGTAGTACTTACAAACATTTACAAATGTAACAAGTCAATTCGATTTGGCGTACAGGATCGTCAGAAAACATTACACTAATGACCTTTCGCTAATTCGCGTTACGGAGAAGAAACGGTGAGAAAAAAGAAACGCAAAATCAATCGAACGATCGGACTGCGCGCTTGGTTCTCGCACGGATTCGGACAGCGCGCGTCTCCCGCGAAACGCTTTGTTCTCGTTTCGATTGAGAGGGATAGATGAGGGTGGGAACGAGGAGATCGATTGATACCTAGCGATTAAACGTATTCGGTAACGAATATAACAGCTCTACCCGATACCCGGGGTATCGCCGCGAACGAAAATGCACCGTTCAAAGTAGCTTTATACAAATGCAACGTTACGGTTGTGGCGACAGGCTGTAAGTACCCTACAATCGTGGAACGATGTTATCGTACAAACCCGACCGTTTGCGTGGGAAAAAAAAATCAAACGGAACGAAGAACGAGAGATTTTCGCTTTTTTAATATTTTCTTTTTTTTTCCTTCTATCTCCAAACCTTCCCCCGCTGGGGCGGGGGGGAGGGGCGTTTTATCGCGTCGTTATCATTATAATACTTGATAAGCACTCGCAAATCGTAATGTTCGTTATCAATCATTATCATTCGCCTTATCCTTAGTATACTCTTACTGCGTAGGTAATTATTATTTCCCTATAAAGACGTGCTCCGGATTGCGTGTATGTGTTGTGTATGTGTGACAGCGGAAAATAAATAAGGTATATGCTTTTTCGCCGCGCGTTTTCAACCCCCGGACGCGACTCGACCGCGCGCTCGGGCTGCGACGAACGGCTGCGCGCAGTGTCGGCCCTCTCTCGTTTCTGTTTTCGCAATATAAATATTAATCGATCGTGACAATGGACATTCACGTCGCTTATTACGCGAATATTGCTTACCAGCAAATCATAAGATTAACGAGCTTCCGATCGCGAGACACGCCAGTATCGCAATTCTAGCCAGTATCCCGCTTTCCTAAAGTAAGGCGCGAGCGCGTATATAATATATATCGACGCAATTATCAATTCGCGATCTTATGTCGTAGCCACGCACATAATCCATTCTCCTAATAATCCTAATAACAATTTCCAATAATTCTCTAATTACTTACTAAACTATCAACTAGCTAACTTAACGAAAGGAATATTTAATCTACGAATTAGAAAACAGTCAAATATAGAACATCGATTCTCGTCGTCGATTTTGCCACTGTTGATTGGCGAATTTTATTATGCAACTTTTCGATCGGCAATCGGCAATGTGCCGTTCGCTTCGAAGATACGATTCGCTGGATGTGAGAGAAGAAATACAATGTGTTCTCCGCGGCGGTCTCTTGGCGATCTCGTCCATCCATCGAAGTGGAGTCCGCAAACGCATCCGAGGGTTGATACGAAAGCCTCGTCGAATCGGTCTGCGAACGCAGACCAGGCTAACGGAAGGGGTATAGAAGCGTATAAAATAAATAAATACGTATATATGCGAATGTGTCAGCTGTTAGGCCCTTCTCGAAGCAAGGTATGCGACTGCGTCGGGCGCCGATGGTCCAAACAACGCGAACAGAATCCGAAGGACCTCTGGGAGTCTTCCTGAGACGAGAGCGACGCTTCGCTCTCATCGCTTGGATCCCGGGGGAAATTCAGACATTTGCGTTGTCCGGGAAGCGCGACGACGAGCTCGTACGGTATAAACTGCGATAAAATAGCGCAAAACCGGCGATCGCACTCGAGAAGCGATCAAGGTGGCGCATAAAACCTTCGCGGCTTCGCATCAAATTCGCATCGACGTCAGTTTTTTTTAAGATTCTAGTTGCATTTGTGCACGAGTTTCTTTAACTGGCCCTTCTTTCGCCGGTCCGATCGCGTTAAAAACTCAATTGTTAGCGAATATCAATGACAATAGTTTGCTATCGATCCGCGAAACGCCGATCCGTCACCTTGATCGCAAAACGATCTCAAAATCCTATGACAATCGCGACAATGGAGAGACGATGAAGCGCGATGACTCGACGATCGTCATCCTGTGACGGTGGGGCGCACGGTGATAATTAGCTAATGATTGCGATCGTCCAAATAATCCGACGCGGGATGCACGTTGCGCGGCGTTAATTGCGAGATGTACATATGTAGCGGAGCTGTGTTGCGTTCGGGTTGGCAATTATTGAGCAATATCCTTCCTAACGTACACCTTTGGCCGCCGAAAAAGGTTCGCCGACAGGTCTTTCGCGCGTCTTGCCGTGTCTCTCGATCGTTATCGGCCACTATTGTGTTCCGGACCAGAGTCTAGTTACACCGACATTAAATTAGCGCCAATTTCGGATCAATTAATTCTCTCTCTCTCCGTAAACATTAGAATTCAGAAAGAAATGGATTTTTCAAATAAATATTTTTATTTGACAGAGTCCGAAAAGTAAATGTGAAGTCCTGCCTAAAGTATCTATAAAAATTGCAGATTCTCTTTCTTCTTTTATCTGCTTCTATTCCTAGAGGAGTGTCTATTAAATTCTAATAATTTTTTAACTAAGTAATGGTCCTGCATGTCGAAATGAAAGTAGAAAAGTTGTAATTCGAAGAGAGATGACGAGTCAATTGATTCGAACTGTCGGTACAACTCAACCACGCAACTGGAGATGAGACATTTACCCTCACAATATAGGAATATTCTACGCCACCTGATTTTTTAACGACCCCGAATGATTCAGCGCACGATCTTATCGCTAATGCATCAGATGGACCCAAGGGGTTGCTCCTCGCGTTTGCATCCTATTGCAGCTTTCCGGGTCCTTCCCGGCTTCTTTTGACGACCATCTCGTACCGTGCCCTTTCGTACTTACTTTTTCGTACTCCCCGAATAGATCGTGTATTTCTCGCAGTGCCACCCGTAAATCCCTTATCGGTAATGAGAGTAATCGCGTCGAGATCGCCTATCGCTACGCATTCACGTAAATGCGGCTGGATGTGTGTATATTTTATACACGTACGGTAACAATTGTTCTAAAGCTTTTTCTGATAAAAGTCACGTCTGCGCACATTAGGACCGTCGTCATCGTGTACAAAACGCGTTTTCTGTACGTGCCATTTCGCCGTCGTCCGAAAAAAAAGAAAAACGATCGTTCCGCAGCCTCGTCCGCGGCGTTAACGACGCACACGAGCGTGGTATATGCGTACGATTGCGGTATATTTCGCATATATGAAATATACAATTTTATATATTATATATACTTAGCTCTCTCTACCTACCTATCTCCACTTACGTGTATATATATTTATATAAATCTCCTGCCCGCCCGCGCGTACATGCGTAGCGTGTATGTATATATTTATATATATAATACGTATGTATATATGTATAATATTTATATACGATGATTCACCTACGTAGAACCTTACGCTCGCCCTACTACGATGAAGAAAGAACGAATAGCCGGATATAATTACGGGTGTGTATAATTGCCTTAGAAAAAAATGTACGCGAGTACCGTGGTTTCTTCTTTTCGTTCACGTATTATTTGGCACACAGACGTTGCGAGGGGTACGGACGCGCGGACGTGTAATGAGCCAGGGTCGACTTTGAGAACTCGGCACATTTCCGAAGGGGGAGTATAGAGATCGAGAGACCGAGAGCAAGACGCGAGAAACCGGGGGGGTGTGACCCGCCTGCCCGCCTTGAATATGTTACGTGATGCGAGATTCGCGTCGCTATTTTCTTATTTCCTTCTTTTTCTCCTTTTTCCAGTTCGGACGTCGACGTCGCGCGTCCGCGTATCCGAAAGTTTCCTCGCGCCGCGCGATTTTTTCTTTATTTCAATCATTAATACTATATTAATCATATAGCGATTGGCGCGCTATTTTTACGCGCGCCTCTTGCGCCGAATCCCTACGCTGTACCCTACTTTCCAAGAGACGTTCCAAACGCCCGCGTACGGCGGTTCCTTCGTCGTTCAGGATGTTGGAAGCGGTCTTCCTTCAGCTTCTGTTCTTCCTATTCTCTTCGGTTCGCGTTCCTTCCTGTCTGTAAGCCAATTTGGTCTTCTTAATACTAGCAATTCCTTGTTGTCGAACTCGAACCCGAATCTTCCGCGACCGTTTCTTTTCAACTGTCCGTTTCCGTATTTCATTCTCCTCTTCTTGCTCGTCTCACTTGACGGACAACCTGCCCGGGGATTGTCGTCCGAGGACCATGGACCACGCGGTAGAAGCCTCGCGATCCCGCCGGCCGCCGTGTTAACTCGCCAGCGCGATTTCAGTGGCGACCTTGACGGTCGAGCAGCCGATCAGCGAGCGGCTTCTCGGTCACAGAATGTCCGTCTCGTAGACCTTGCTGGTGGTCGTGGTGGACGTGGTGGTGACGATAGTGGCCGAGCCGGTGGTCGTCGTACCCGATACCACCGTCGTGGACGTGGTACCGGGGACCTGGCCGTTGGTCGTCGCCGCCGCGGCGGTCGGAATCGCTTGCCCGTTGATGATCTCGACCTTGGCTATCTGGTTACCACCGTCAACCGCGGCCTCTTGCGAAACCTGGGGCTTGATGCTGAGGCTGGTGAGGGACCCGGAACTTGCCGCGCTCAAGCCGAGGCCCATCTTCGCCAGGAGGTTGCTCTCGGAGCCGGTCTTCTTCAAAAGATCGGGTGGTGCCGGCGGCACGGTGGTGAGACCGGCCGCGTTCCTCTGCAGCTGCTGCAGCCTGGCGTACTGCTCCTGCAGGGCCTTCTGCTTCCTGAGTAGCTCCTGATGCCGTTGCTCCAGCTGTTCCTGCCGGCCGCGTTTACTCTGCAGCCCCTCCTGCGAGTTGACGCTTTCGCAGGAGCTGGAGTTGCTGGTCGACAGCACCGCGGAGGATTGCGAGGACGACGAGTTGTGCGGCGGGGCGACGCCCGGCGCGGTCGGCGCCAACGTGGATCCGGCGACCTGGTCCACGGTGGATAGGATGGCGTTCGACGGTAGGGCCATCGGCGGCTTCCCCTCCTTGCCAACGAGACTGTTGTTGCGCGAAGGTCGGCGTAAGGTTGCGTTGCCGCTTTGCAGATTACACGGATGATTCCTGGGCGGCAACTGCGGGCTGGTAGGGCTCGCCAGGGGCGACCGGGAGCTGGTGCGCGGCGGCGGTGGCGGCGGTACCCTCCTGGTGCTCGCCAGCTGCAGCAGCTCGGCGTTCCGTTCCGGTACCGGCGGCTTCTGACCGGGCAGAAAGCTCTGCGGCAGCACCGGCATCCCCGGCTGGGATTGCTGCTGCACCTGTTGATCCAGCGACAGCGCCTGCAGCCTAGCGATGGGCGGCGAGGTGTCGGTGTCCGAGCTCGAGGGGTACGAGTGCAAGCGACGCAGGGTGCCGCCCGGCGCCATCCCGGGCAGGCCCATCAGGCCGACGGTGGGGGGCGCGGTCAGGATACCGCTGGAGGAGTCCACGCTGCCCTTTCGACCGATATCGCTGATGTTGGGCGCGCGTCCGCCGCTGCCGGTGATCGTCGCGACGCTCGTTGACTCTCGGAGGCTGGATGCGCGGCCGATGTCGGCCAGGAGGGTGTTCGAGCCCGGATGCACCGACAGGCCGCCCGACACGTGGCCCATCTGCGATCCTGGTCGGGAGAAGGTTTGCAGCTCGTCTAGCAGAGCGTCGAGTGCGTTCTCCGGACGCTGCTGATGGTCGGCGGATGACTCGTGAGGGTGGCCCCCTCCCCCGAGGACGCTCGCTGACCCCACGACAGTGCGTTCCGCTGGCACAGGGGTAGCTGCCTGTTCGTTCAGACACGTGGAATCAACGCTCGGGGGCCAAGAACGTCGCGCCGGCCCGGCTTTTGCCTCGCGGCGCGGCGTCGCGCCAGCGTCCCCCCTGGGGAACGCGGGACCGTCGGGCGTCCTTCCGCGTGCTGGCGCGACGCATCTTGGCATCGTGGGGGGGTGATCGTGCTTTTTGTTTTTTTTTTTCTGCGCGCTCTCGTTGAGAAGAAGCATCCCGCGCGATCGTCCAGTAGGGTGTCTCCCGTTCCGGTACCTCGTGCGAGGTGCCGCGCAAGTTTTCGAATGTGAACGTGTATAAAGTACACAACGACACATACAGATACTTACGCGCTTGTAGACACGACGAACATATACACAGACACATATAGACATGTATAAGGGTGTAGAGAACGATAATAATATGTAAGAGCTTCGAAAATTGCACATCGACTTATGTACATTTGATCGTATATACTCGTATGTACAGAGATACATTTTGAAATTTGCTTTTTGTGGTGCTTGGTGCAGACCCGGAGGTAGTCCGGTACCGGATGATTGAACGTGTCGTGATACATTTTCTCGTTTATAGTATGCCGTCGCTGCGGATGCTTTTTCTGGACAACGAGAGCGGTGATCGTATAGAAAGTGGCGTCTCGATGCGAAGATCCGAATAATGAGATTGAAGAAAGGATGATTTGCGAAAGAGAGAGATAACAGAGTGATATGATATACTCGTGAAACACACAGATCACGCAAAGTCCGATGTTGCCTTACGATTGATTGTTCGTTGTACCGTCGTATTTAGCATTAGTAGCATTACTTTAATCTTCCAGCAAGGTTTTTACTAGGGTCGAAAGTCGTCCAATAATTTTTGCGCTATTCTCGAAGACTCTGAAATATATCACAACTAAGATTATAATTACTTACTGATTACGTATGTGCACAGTTAACGCTATTAATTATTAATTAACAGTTAGATTGATTAATTTTATCAAATTTAAGTACTTAATTTGCCACACATCCGGACTCTGCGTATCGTGTCGTTGAATCGCGTGAATATTTAACGACGAAGACGCCCTTCGACACACCACGATCGTACGATCGGAAGATCGCGAGTCGAATTTCGTCTTTTTTTTTTTTTTCTATGTCATGCGTATATATGTGCGAATAATGTGCATGCGTAATAACAATGTGACAGAAGTGAAGAGCATGACTGTGAAACGGTGAATGATACGAGACGTAATGAGCGTAAAATCATGGAAATGCAGAATATATGGGTGAACACGACAAAAGTAAAGTGAAAGAGAAGAAACGCGCGAGAGAGAGATGGATGAAAGAGAAAGAGAGAGAGATAGAGAGCGATAGAAAGAGGCAGAAAGATAGATAGAAAAAGAGAGAAATAGAAAGAGAGAGAAAGAAAGAAAGAGAGAGAGAGCGCAATGATGAGTCGTGAATCGCAATAAGTGAACGAAAAAAGAAGGCACACAATCCGTAGGACATAATACGTAAATATGATTAAATTCCGTTAGATAATTACCTGCGGGTCGGTTATACGTTTTGTGCGTGCGTTGTGCGTGTTACAAGTCAGTACTCGTTTGGGGCTCTTTTACATTTGGCATCGATTGCTGTCCGGTATTAGTCAACTTAAAAAAAAAAACAGAGAAACCAAAAATCAAAAATCCGAGGTCAGAGGTCAACATCGTCGTGGACCGCGCGCGGGAGAGAAAAGAAAAGCGCGAGAAAGAACGCGAGATCCGTTTCGCTCCTCCGCGAAAACGCGTCGTTCGTTTCACGCGGACCGGACGCGCGAAAAGTCCGCGGGGGGAGAGGGGGGGAGTGAATCGCGCAAAGGTCCGTGAAACACGTTGAAGGGCTGTCAAGGCAAACCGGGACGTCTTCCATTGAGATCCTGTCGTTTCTTGGACGTTTCGCGTCGTGGGATACAGCACGAGATTATCCGGAAGGAGAATTCTCTAGCGATCGTTACGTCCCCTCGTTCAATGATTTTGATAAAATTGCCAAAATATTAATATTAAAAATATAATATTCGATAAAATTAACGATGAAAAATATAATCGTTATTGTCACGTTGTAAATTGCTCTTGATATGACACGGTCGCGACATTGCAATCTCGTGTTGTCGGATTTGTTTCATCCTCCCCCCGCCCCCGCCGAATTCTTTATCGAATCCCCCGTATGATATTCCGCCCGTCGTCCATACGATCGACATCCGATCTCGCGCAGGAAAGAGCCGGGAACGCGCGGCGCATCGGCTCGGGCATCGACCTCTGTCGTTTTTCGAGATTGACTCCGGATGCATCTTTCATCCGGCCGCCTCGCGCCGATCGGATCGAGAGCAGCGAGAGGAAACGGTTATGAGTAAATAAAAAATCGCGCTGGACCCCAAATACAAATCTCTCGAACGCGCGGCTTGAATCGCGATACCCGCGCGGTGAATCCGCGAGCGAAAAGACGACGAAAAAGAAACGACGCGTGGGATTTAAATACAGAAAAAAAGTCGTCGTCACATCTTTATAATCTTGATAATCGGGCGGAGTAAGCGTAAACGAAGATAAGTGCGTACGGGGCCGTTCGGTAATTGGCACATTGCTGGCGAACGTGGCGACCCGGCGACGTTGTTTGTTGAAAACTATGCATGATTAATTAATTTCTTTCACTAAGGCTAAGTTCAACGCTATAAATTTAATCCCTCGCAACTTTCGAGGTCTCGACATGGTGCTCAAGCAAACTTCGTTTATAACATTTACTCGGAAAAGCAGCACTTTGTCATCCACCACTCCCTGAAGAGTACCACCAGACATTTCTACTTTTGTCTAATCGTGAAATCGACGTCGTTATTAAATAAAAAAAAAAATATCATTTTCGGTTCTCGACAAAGGACATCGCCAAAACGTGCGCCAGAGGCCAATCACCCTGATGTACCCCGTTCACACGGATTCTCCTGTTTAAAGTAAAATAAAATAAAACATCGTATGAAGATTGTTGTGCCCATGCCGATGATCGAGGTGCACAGAGATGTAGATCGCAGTTACATTGAAAGAGAAGCAGAGTCGTTTTTCTTTTCTTACCGAGTTCGCCGTTTACGAATTAGCACGTGAGTATTGTCGATGCCCGCACAAATGACGCCGACCTTCCGGGTTACGAGGCAACGGAAGACTCTTATAATAGCATGCACCTCTCGAAGGCGCGGATACGAAAGAAAAAAATAAAACGAAAAAAAAGAGAAAGAGAGAGAGAGAAAAAGAGAGAGAACGGGGATGCCTTCTCCCATGCGAAACTGCATGCGCGTCTAACGCAAAATTACACACGTATGTATTTTATGCGTGACAGGCATACATACACGCGCGCGCGCACACACACACACACACACGTACACATACATTCATGCCGCATGCCGCACACGTACGTACGAAACGTGCCTAATAATTAAGTAATAATACTCCGACTAGTTGTGAAACGAACAAAAATCGAAACGAACAGATAGGGTGGTTATATTATACATAAATATCGAAAAAAAAAGAAATATCGGCCAATCAAAAAAATACACAGAGAAAACCTTCAGTCCAATCCTTATAGTAAGGCAATATAGTATATAGTACGGACTCAGACTCATATAGATAGATAGAGATATATAGAGAAAGAGATAGAGAAATGAGATGGACAGAGATAGACAGAGAAGGGGAGGAAGAGAAAAGAGAAAAGGAGAATATATAAATATATATAAAATATATGTATATATCGATTCTCAAAGTGTGTCTTCCATGGATGGGTATGTACATATACACAATAGATTGAGAGAAAAAGAGAGAGAGAGAGAGAGAGAAAGAGTGAATGTGATGGAGAGAAGAATGATGAATCTTGCACGAGGGTGGAGCACGCATATGGAACGTGATGTGAGACGCGACAGTAAACGGTCGATCGGTATCGGTGAAGTCGAAAGAGGTGATTACGTGGTGGCGAATCGTCGACAAGGAGCAAGTACGACACAGCGTAGAGAAACCAGACATATAAGAAGCCCAAGTATCGTACAAATCATATAAGTGAGGTAACTAATTAAGACCTCTGGTGATGCTACACGTCAGCGTGTAGACCGGGGTGACCGTAAACTCGCGCACTTATCCCGTAGGCGTAATGAGACTTCTTTCAATTCAACGCACTGCACTACTTTTTATAATAGTTTGCCTAAGTGACAATTGAGGTTTCGTTCGAAAATTCTATCCTTCAACATTTTCCATTTTTTTAACTGAAAAATGTGGAAATCAAATCCGATTTGATCAAGAGATTTCATATGCGTGAATTTATAGCCACTCCGTATAGACAGGTGCACGAGTTGCAATTGGCAGTAGTTTTCGCGACGTACAATACCGGCACCTCGGAACTAAAACAATTAACATCATTCTCCGCGGCTGGAAGCTATTAGGAGCGAGATATTTTCCTCGACATTTATAACATATTCTTTCTTTTTCGGCGCTTCTGAGTCGTACGTTGATGTTGGTTGTTTCGATTCCGAGATGCCGGGGTGCTCTACGGCCTCGTCATTGCGCATTTAATTGATTACGATTGCATTCGTGGAGACCGATCGAGACTCGTCAAATATTGTTTTTTCTTGATCGGCAACATTAAAAAAGATTTAACGAAAGGTATCTCAGTTTTTTAGGCGTCCTTTAGATATCTTCCTTTTAAAAATTCTTTTGAACAACACGACTCATCACAGAGTCTTCACGGCGCAAGTTCTTCGCTTATGATCTCCGAAACAACATGAGAAATTCGCAGAGGAATCTGAAGGATGTCTGAAAATTAGAACTTCTTCAAAGACCTCTCATCCGAAGCTTTGCCCGAGAGATCATAATCGAGAAACTCATCGTGTTAAACTCTTTCGCAAGTTGCCCCGATAATTGTGTCAACGAATCGCGAGTGATCGATTTTGGGAATTAACTTCCAGGAATAAAGATGCCGAAAGAATTTAACGAATCTTGATTCGTTCCCGCTTGCAT